AACCACTTAGAATGACGTCTGTGGTTTAGATATTTTCATCTAAAATGTTTCAAAAGAATTAGCAATCTTTGGCTCACCTATTGAAATATTTCTGTGGATCTTAAAAGACAGGAACAGTACTAATAAAACTGCAAAAGCAGAGTCAATAATGGTGGGCAAATGACAAAGAAGGCTGCAGCTGCAACTGCCCAGGGACCACAGACACTTCTGTTCTGCGCATGCTCAGTGTGTGTAACCATAAATAAATTCACCACCAATGTTAAACTAAACTTTATGATGTGGTTATTTTAAAACTTACATTAGTTAATACAACTTTACAAGATGTGAAAATAACTTAATTTGGTGAAAATAACTCCTCAGATTAAAATTAACCTAAAAGTAGTTAAGACAACAAAATAAGGGTTACAATAACTATTAAATTTAGTGGTGAAAGTAACCAAGCAGGGGTTATTCTAACTTTTTGTTTTTACAGTGAACCTGAACAACAGATCCCTTGAATGACAAATACCACATCCTGTACCATTAGCTGAACATTTCTACATAAAAATATTACAAGATAACACGTTACTAGTCACATTTACATGTACATCATGCATGACTATACCAATAGGAGGGGGCAAGGGGGAATTAGCAGTAGGTACCCAATTAAAGGGGCCCCCAGTCTCAGGTTTATAGTGAGCTCTTGGGGCTTGGGGGGCCTAATAAAATTTTAAAATACAACTTTCAATATTGATGATATACATAATAGTTATAGAACAGTAAAGAGTGCTGTATGGCTGATAACGTCACGAGGGGTGGAGTCGAGACAGCCAATACAGCTACGTGTATAGCTTTGGATATTTTTGGATTTTTTTGAAATGGCTGTAACTTGAAAAATTGAAGTAGGAATCACCTCAAACTTTCTACACAGCATAAGGACATCAATATGTATCAGTAAATGTAATAAAAATTTGGAGTGATTATTTGGCCATTTTTTGGGAAAAACCATGCCTTGGGTATTTTTCAGAATTTCAGTTAAAATGGTCATAACTTAAACATTGAAGTCGGAATCAGCTCAAACTTTCTACACAGCATAAGGACATCAATATGTATTAGAAAATATAATAAAAATTTGGGGTGATTTTTCAGCTATTTTTTGGAAAAAATCATGGGCTCAGTGTTTATGATCCTGATGTTGCACTGTCCGATGGTCACATAATAAATTACTAACTAAATTATTTATTTATTTAATTATTATAAATTTATTACTATGATTTGTCTGTATGTCTATCTCTATGTCTCTCTTATTATTTCAAAGAAAATTTTATTTATTAAAAAAAAAAAATGGGCTATAGCCTTGGGTATTTTTCAGAATTTTGGCGTTTTCTTAAAATGGCTGTAACTTGAAAAATTGAAGTTGGAATCACCTCAAACTTTCTGCACAGCATAAAGATATCAATATGTATCAGTAAATGTAATAAAAATCTGGGCTAATTTTGGAGCCATTTTTTGGAAAAAACCATGGACAATTTCAGAATTTTGGTGTTTTCTTGAAATGGCCGTAACTTGAAAAATTGAAGTCAGAATCACCTCAAACTTTCTACACAGCATAAAGACATCAATATGTATCAGATAATGTAATAAAAATCTGGGCTGATTTTGGAGCCATTTTTGGAAAAAACCATGGGCTAAAGCCTTGGGTATTTTTCAGAATTTTGGCGTTTTCTTAAAATGGCTGTAACTTGAGAAAAATTGAAGTAGGAATCACCTCAAATTTTCTACACAGCATAAGGACATTAATATGTATCAGATAATGTAATAAAAATTGGGGTGATTTTGGAGCCATTTTTTGGAACAAACCATGGGCTATAGCCTTGGGTATTTTTCAGATACCCAATATATTTCCCAGTATCTCCAGTAGTGCTGAATCAGACACAAAGAAGAACCGAGGAATTTGTACATGTACGTAGTTA